CTAGCCTCTCTCCAAAGACAGGTCACTTCGCTAGCTAAAGTCACCCTTCAAAACCGGCGGGCCCTAGATCTGCTTACAGCCGAGAAGGGCGGCACCTGCGTCTTCCTCTGGGAAGAGTGCTGCTATTACATCAACGAATCCGGCATTGTAGAAACTGACATTACCAAACTCACCGACCTTGCCTCCAGTCTCCACTCTGCTTCCAATTCCAACCCATTCTCGTCAATACTAACAAACCCCCTCCTCACCTGGCTCTGGCCCATTGCAGGCCCCATAATAATCATTCTTCTCGCCTGTCTCTTCTTACCCTGTATAATAAAGTTCATCAAATCCCAAGTCGGAAAAATCTCTAATCAAGCTTTCAACCAGCTTTTACTCAGGAACTACCAGCTTCTGGCCACAGAAGATCCCTCACCCTCACGTGACCTCCTCACCACACGCTGAGATGGACCCCTCTCTCCACTGGAAACTGTTCCTGGAAACAATGGCCGCAGACGCCTGGCTCCTGACACCCATATCCTCTTGGCACCATTGGAATCAACAGGTCCTCAACCTATGGTTACAGGGAACCTTCATTGATTTCCAACCTGAAGAAGTCCACATCTACTCATCCTTACTGTGGGGAGTCCTATCAACCCTTTCCTCCCAATCCTCAAGCCCTCACTCCCTTCTCCGCCCCTGTTCAGCAGGAAGCAGCCAGAGAGAAAGCAACGTCCACAAACCCATAGAGGAGAAAGGGGGGAATGAAGGGTCCCCACCAGTAAGATGGCAAACTTCCGGCTTCTCTTCGGGGTCCTCAGTTCCCGCCGGCACCACCTGAAGCCCAATCACCTCTCGCCCCCCTCCCAATCCCAGCACCTAGCCAACAGCCACCAGCCCCGTAGAAGTGACACCTCAATCAATTCATGCCCCTTCCTATATAACCCAGCACCTTTCCCTAATAAAGCGGAACTCTCCGGTGAATTGCTGCTATGTGTCGCTCCTTTCCTTTCAGGAAGTATCAGGATAATCCAGATGGCTTGGCGTGTCCTGCTCCATGGCTAAAGATACCACAAACTGGGATGGGGATCATGGAGAAGGACCTGGATTTGGAAGGGAAGAGATGACTATGAGTTCAGTATTTGCTTACAGATTACAATTTGCAAACAATTCACTTTGGTCTATTTACATTTAAAACCTTTGAACTCTGGGTAATTGCAGGATCTATCTTCTATTAATAGAAGTGTGTAAAGAAATATTTGGGGGAAAAGGGGACTTCAGATATATTCATAACCTCCTTTGCCTTCTAAGGGGGTCTCTTTGATTGCTGGGTACACTGATGCCAATGCACAGGGGCAAGGTTGAATTGCTGTGTGCCATTAAAGAGTGAAAGAGTTAGGGTCTTGAAAAGAAATCCTCAAGATTGCACAGTATGTAAAGGTGGGTCAGAAAAAGCAAGCTGCAGAGGATGCACAGGAGGTGAGGGGGTGGGGGACTCAGGAGAGGATAAATGTGGAAGGAGGAACTGAAGCAGTGATTTCTGAGGAGAGCACTGCTGAACAGCTTCCACACCTTCCCTCTACAATCTTCCATCTGTTTTCCTTTATTAAACATGGAGAGAGCTAACATCTGGTTAAAGTGAACCACTCTCAGGGAGCTGGGATTGGGGGTTGACCCACAGGGATGAAAGTCTGAATGTGATTGTCCCCTAGTTCAATCTGCCTCTCCGGTGCTAGAAGACAAGGAATGGGAGAAAAAGAGAAGAAAAGGCAAGGATGAAATAAGGAAAGGATATTGTCTGGTTTGTTAGGCTTCTGTTCTCTATCCTTTTTTAAATAAAAAATATTCTAGGAGGATATTATACATGAAATGAACTCATACTAAGGTAAAGCTTGGAGACCTTCAAAAGGACATTAGCTTTTTGGCCTCCCTCCTTTGTTTTTGGGCATTCAAGGGGTGGAGTGTGTGGCTCTGTATGCAGACACATATATTTGTTCATTCCTTCATAAAAAATTTATTCAGTAACTTTTCTATGCTAGATGGGTACAAAGATAAAAGACATGATCTCTTTATGAATTTGCAGGTAATTTAACATGTAGTGGGTAGAGAGGCTAACAAACAGACATAGTTTATTGTGATTCTTGTTATGATAGGAAACAGAATTTTAAAAAGGGAGTTCTGAGTCAGCCTGGGTGATTGTAGGAATACTTTACTCAGAAGGTGATCCTTGAAGTCAAGAACATAAATTTTCTCAGCAGGTGATGGTGGGGTGATGAGGGAGGAGAGCTAAATTTGGTGTTTGGAAGCAAACAATATTGACTGGGGATGACTTAAACAGAAAACTTACTGGAAGGGTATTGAATGGTTCATAGAGTTGCCAGGAAGGCTGCAAAGCCACTTTTGGAAAATGCGACAGGAGTGTCATGTGAGGCATAGTCCAAGATCACCACAGAATGATACCCCAAAACTAGTTTGCTGTAGATATAACTGTCACTGCTGCCAAACAACTGTAAACCCCAACTGCAGCCCAAGCATGGTTGTCCTTCACAGTCCCTGTAGTTGTCCCTGTTGCCTCTGTTCACCACCAGGATGGATCCTTACCTTTCCTGCTTCTTTGCATTAAGAACTCTCATTGAAAGTTGGGGGTGGGTACATTTGATTGACTGGGCCTAGGTCATAAGCTGCCTCCCTAGGTGCAAGGGAGTCTGGGAAAGCAAATATGTGTTTTTTTCAACTTTTTTGATAGGGATGGGGAGGGAGAGGATGAATTGCAGCCTCACATCTAGATTCAACAAGAGAGCAAGTCCCCTAAACAGGAAAGGAGTTCAAATGACACCCAACCCTCCTGTAATGAGGGGAGAAGGGTGAAGAAGGCAAGAGGGTTTTCCAGGTAATTGTATGTGAACATGCAAACAGATTCAAAGGAGTATGCCAGCATGTAGTGCTGGGAGGCCTTCTAATAACTCAAAAGGAGAAAGGAGAGAGGGAAGGAAGGCTGGGAGGCAGACTTGTTTTGAAAGCCCTATGCCTATAGATTTTGACTTTTCTGTTAGAAGAGTGTGACAAGTGCAACTGGTTGCCTGTTCAGTACCCATCCATCTTTTTTCCTTACCAGTGGAATTCCAATTTTGATTTGGAACCCAGCTAAAAACTCTTATTTCCCTAGAATTCCTTGTCGCTAGTGTTCCATGTTACACCGTTCAAGTACACTGAGGATTCTTGTTCCCTTTCTTGCGGAAAACAGATAGGAGATCTGTATAGCAGTCTTCAGAGGAGAATGAGACAAAAAGCAGAGTATGAGGCCTATACATGAAAAATGGCAGAGAAGAAAGATGGAAAAAGCCCTTGTTCTCTGTTCCATCTGAGAACTAAGTACTCCCATATTTCTTGAGATAAATAAACCCCTATGTGTTTAAGTCACTAGAGTTGGATTTTCTGTTGTTTGGAGATTGATGTGATCCTGATTGAAAGAGGGAAAGAGACCAACTAGGAAACTAATATAGTCATTTGTGACTTTAATGGGGGTAGAACAGGTAGGGATTGTGCAAAGAGGATGGACTGAAGATGTGATTGTGGTGAGTGTGTACGTTCAGCCAAGTCTCAAATGGGATGGGCTGAGTAGGTGGAATCTACTTCAGGTCCTACAAAAAGCCATCCCAGCCCTGAGGTGTTAGGGAACTCCATAGGAGCACTTGGAAAGCATGTTTGTGTGTGTGGGGTAGATGTGGATATAAAGTGGGCAAAAGGGAGCAGAAAGGGGATGTGCAGGGTTTCAAAGACTAACCTCACAATTTTCTTTTATTTATTAAAAAAATACTGGATTAATATACAAATTCTAGGAAACTCAATTAATCAAAAAGCTATGTTAAGAAAATTAATATGCCCCTAAATCCCACCACCCAGAGACAATAATGACTGCTAACATTTTGGTTATTTCTTTCTAGTTCCCATTCATTCTCTTTCTTCCATTCTTACCACGTAAATGGCTATATAAATGAATCGTTTAGCAAAAATGTGATAATATATTGCCTTCCAAACTAACTTTTAGCATTTGGTGGTACATTGGAAGAACTCCCACGTATTAATACTATTTTAGATGGATAGTATTCCATTATGTGGATGTATCATGCTTTAGAAATTGAGCCCTTAGACGTTTTTATTATCCCCCCCCCTTAATACCACTTTTGGATGTGGTGGGGAATCTATTGGAGGTGATTCTGGAATGGAAGGAGAGATGGCATTAGCCTGGCCTTTAGTTTCAGTGAGATGATAGCTTGTTGAGGCTGTGATGGCCTGAAAACTTGCAACAATATATTCATTATTTTGATTTTGATATATTACTCTTCGCATTGAGGAACAGGAATCTAACACAGTTACTTTGCCATTTAGAACAAAGGAAAACTTTTTCCCTTAAGGTAAGCAGCCTGTATTTGCAGTACTGACATTTATTGTCTTTCCTTTGGCACATTAAACTTCTCTCTGTGGGCGGCTGTTTAGCTTGCAAGTGGGAAGTAACAGCAGGAAGAGTGAGGATTATAGTTCCACAATGTCTGTCTATAAAATGGAAAAGAAGCAGCCCACTTCCGCAGCGAGCAGGGTTCGAACCTGCGCGGGGAGACCCCATTGGATTTCAAGTCCAACGCCTTAACCACTCGGCCATCGCTGCCACAAGGAAATGGCAAGGCGGAAACCCTTTAGTGCAATTAGAACTGCGCGCAAGCGCCCCTGACCTACCCTGTAGGCGGGGCTTACCGGTGGGCGGGGCATTACAACCCCCTCGGAGCCGGGCTCTAACGGCTCTAAGTTTTGGGAGCTACGTCGTAGACAAGTAGCTATAATAAAAACTGCCTTACGCAGTCTACTTTAAGTAAACTCCTTTAGGTAGAGGGTCTTAGGAACTTTCTTTTCGCCAAGCTGGGAAAATTGCAAGGTTGCTTCGTTTCCGGTCGCTGAGCTGTTTTTTGCCCTCCCGCTTCTTCATTAGGTCATCGAGAGAGCCGTGAAACCAAGATCTGTGCCGTTCAGTGCCGCGGATCCGCGCTCTCGAGAAGTTCCACATTTCTGGGAGCGCTGTTTCTCCCCCAGCGGACACGTTGCCTGGAGCCCTACACCAGGCGTGAAGGCCCGTGGGCTTGTGCCCTGCAGTTACCGGTCACGTGTTTTGTCCCCTCCTGTTTTCTCTCCCCAACGATCCGTTCACTGCTGAATCCTACGGTCAGAAATCGGGTCCCAAGTGGGGTCTCAGTTCTTTCAAGTGATGGGGAGCCACGGAAATGGTTTCAGAACCAAGTCCTGCGCATTAGGTCTGAATTCTATCTTACCTTTAAATGCCGTGAATTTCCTCCCTTGGTAAATGTAGTTACTGCGCTGTGTGGTTTATCTGCGTTATTCGTTAAAGATCTAAGAAGGCGTCGTACAGGTACTGTCCTCGCCCGTCTCAGAGGGCTATGGCCCGGGGCTGGGCCGCGGCGGGCGGCTGACTGGTGCGCATGGGCAGCGCTCGCCCACAGCACGTGGCCCCCCGCGCGCAGCACATTCTCTCTTTTGATGGACGATTTGGGAAAACTAATAGGCGGCCTTCAAGTTTTAAAAGCGTTCACGGAAACTTCATGTTCTTCCTCTTAATGTTAATCTCATATTAGGCTGAAAGGCAGTTCCTTGCCCTTTGGAAACCCTGATGTTTAGTTGCCGCACTTGATAGTTGAGTGAATTTTTTTTCAAGACTTAAGTACCATTTTTCTTAACTAAATTATGGTGCTAAGTGTCTAAACTGATAAATTATAGAAGGGGAACAAAATACTAGAGAATTTTAAAAATAAATTTTATATAGTTTGAGACTCTTGCTTGTAGAGAATTTATGTTTTTAATTAGGCAGAGCTACATGGGCGGTCCCAATTTCTCTGTGAATACTATGTGGGAACAAAGGTATTCCCTATATCCCCAGCCATATGTTTTATGCATAGGAACTTTACTTGCTCTTTTCCAATAGGTACTAAGAAGAAATAAATTTGTGTCGTTTTGTGTTGTTCTTAAGATTCTACACGTGCTGTGATACAACCTATAATCTTAAAATCTTATTAGTTGTATCTTGATCTTAAAGTTTCTTATTTTTCTTTTTTCTTCTCTCCTCTGTAGTTGAATGATGATATTTACTGGAAGCTCTTTCTCTTCTTTAACCTACCTTTCCCCTTTTAAGAATTCAGTTGCTTAAAAGCTTGATGGTTATGGGAACTGATATGGTTAAATTAGTTAAAAAATTCTGCTCTGAGGGTTTTGCTTCTTTTTTTTTTTGAGGGTAAAGGAAAAGAGTTAATGTGTAGTTGGTGAGAATAATTATAATTTACATTTCTTTGCATTTCAGAAGTGAAATACCTACATCTGATGTTTAACTTTCAATGTATTTGAGCTTATGTAGGCTTTTCAAAAAATGAAATTGCCTTTTTTGAATTTATCATATTGCAAAGATGAGCTAAAAGATCAAAATTATTGCAGATTTTATTTTCAAAAAGTCAATTTCCAAATGAGTTCTTTTAGATTCAACATTAGGTTTTTAGCAATTGGCATTTGATGGAGTGTAAGTGCCAAATAAGAGAAAAAATGTATATTTGAACACAATTATAACATAAATTTATTATGATATATGACACCACCATAAAGCATTGGATTTGCAACCATGGTTATTTTATTTTGTAAAGGTCCTCTGGTGATCCTGATTGCTTCTTCCTCCATGCCACCTCAGATTCTGTTCATTTACAGTGGTAGTTTTTATTAAACTAACTTGGGTATGGAAGTAAAATACCTTATGGCTTTCTCTAAAAACCTTTCTCCATGTCACTTTCAGAGGCAGAATACTGAGAGGGATGGCTCATATGTTTGGGAACAGTATGGGATTTCTGTGTTCTTTTATAGTGAAACAAAACTTGTTTTGAATTACTTTGGTGGTTTTTTTAAATTAAAAAAATCATAGAAGTCTAATGCTGGAAGAAATATTAAAGTGAGTCCAATTTCTTTATGTACAGACAGGAAACTGTGGCCCATGAGTGGCTTGCCCGAGATCTCATAGCTACTTAGTGGCATATTCAAGACTATAATTTGTTAGCCCAGTATACTTTGTTAGTTTCTGGCTCGGCAGCATGTAGATCAAGTAGTGTGTATGTGGAGCAGACAAAGCCAACAGTAGGGAAGATTTGGGGATTGGAAGTTGACAGCCTATGACATATCAGATACTGAATACACTGTGGTGGATAATTTTTGTTCTTTATTGCAGTATCTGTCCTTCCAATTGCCAGTGATGCTTCAACTGTACTTAAGGAGGACCACCGTTTCCTCACTGTACACAACCTTACTTTGCTGTTTATTAAGTTAACCCACTCTCCTCTAGCCAAGGGGAGGGTATGTGACTTCTATTGGCTTTCTGTTGCTGAATAACAAACTTAGTGGCTTAAAACAACATGAATTTATTATTTCACAGTTTCTTTGGGTGAGGAGTGTGGTCATGGGTATGGTTCTCTGATCAGGGTATCACTAGATCTCAAAGTGGTGACTGGGACTTAGTTTTCATCTAAGGCTTGGGATCCTCTTCCAAGATCACTAGCTGTTGGCAGAATTCAGCTCCTGTAGTTGTAGGACTTACCGGCTGTCACTAGGGATCTGTTCTCAGCTACTGGAGGTTGTCCCCAGCACCTTGCTGTGTGGCTCTCTATACAGCACATTAGTTGGCTTCTTCAGGGCCATCAGGAGAATTGCTCTCTAGGCTGCTAGAGTGGAGTTTCATATAATATAATATAATGTAATCACAGATCTGACTGTTGCATCATATTCACAAATCCTGTTCAAGTGAGGGGAATTATATAGGGTGTAAACAGTGAAACAGAGATCCTGGGAGCCACCTTAGAATCCTGCCTGCTACACTACTCAAGCTGGGCCAATCAGATCCTCTTTAAATCCTTGTTCAGTCCATTTTTATGGACATTCCATACAAAACACATACACAGCAACCTGTGAGAGGTGTTCAGAGTCCAGAAATTTTGACTTAGCTGCCTTGTGTGCTTTTGTACTTCATTTGAAAGAAACAGAGTTGGCAACAACTGCAGGATTTTAGAGGTTTAGCCTCCATTCAAGATTCTTGAATTTAGTTCTGTATTGATTTGAGAATAACTCTAGCTATGTATTTTGGAGAACATACATAAGGGGGCTAGCTTAGTTCAGGTTGACCCCTAAAATTATGAAGTTTTTGGTAATAAAATCCTCATGACGATTTAGTTAGTAAGTTTCAGACATCATGAAAAGTGATGGAAATAACTAGAATCGCTGCATTGCAAATGACTGTACTTTTGAAGCCTAAGCAATTAGTTGTGGTTTGCTTTTTAGTCATTATATTACTTAATACACATATATTTGAAGAAGACTGGAGATATGTCTTAGCACTATAGCAACTTATTTATTGGATTTTCCTACCTATTTAGTCCCCTAATGCCATCAACAATTAAGAAGTAAGAAATAGAGTCAAGAAGGATGGATTCTTCTTTCCTTAAAGCATGTGATGCCAATGCCTTGAGTTCTCCAAAGTAGTACCTCCTGACTTTGGACGTGCAGAGATCTGGACTTACCAAAGACATTATAATATATTTTTAAGCCCAAGTGAATATCCAAGAGCAGAATAAATATATTAAGAATGAAATCCTCTACCCAGCTGATCTTTAAGAATTGAATTGATATCTTGTAAAATTTTCTGGACTGGCTCTGTATATAGAATGATGGCAGTGGGGTTTCCAAGTAGTCTTTATAAAAGTAACTGAAATTAAGAACAGAGATCCTAAAAATAATTTTGAGGATTACATCAGAATAGAGGTATAATCAATGTATTATGGTTATAATTGACTGGGGAAAAAACTAGATCCACAGACTAATGTTATTCTTAAAACTTTAAGGAATTATAATTCACTGTCCTCTTTACTTATAAAAGAATGCTGTCTCTTACTAATACTGATTTCTCTTTGGGACTATTAAATTATGTAGAAAAATCAAATGCCTATTCATACCTTAAATATACAAAGATATCTTCTAACAATTTTTTGTTTAAAGTGGCCATGTTTTGGGGTAATTTGTTAATAGCAATATGTAACTAATGCATTCCATTTTTTCCCTTATAACTAGAATCCTTTGTTAACCTCTGTGTTTCCATCAAATATTTCCTGTTCACCCAGCATGTAGGAAAGTACTCATGATTCATGAAAATGCCTAGCACAGGACTTAATATATAGTAGGTACTTGATTTATGGTAATTCTCTTTGTTATGAAAACAATATTATAATGTTAATAAAAAGTTTGAGAAAACAAAAAATAACTCACCTAAGGCTTTTTTCTTGTTTTTCTACTTTATTTTTTTCCTTATGCTCACATTTTTTTTTTACATAGCTTTGGGTAGTGATAGTTTTCTGCTTTTGTTTAATTGGGGAAAATTCATGTAACATAAAATTCACCATTTTAACCATTAAAGTGTACACTTCAGGGGCTTCTGGTATATTCATGATATGTAGCCATTACCACTATCTATTATAGGATACTTTCATCATTCTAAAGGGAAATCTTGTAGCCATTTAACAATTGCTCCCTGCTCCTCAGCCCCTTCCTAGGCCATGGCAGGCACTTACCTACTTTGTGTCTATAGATTTGCCTAATCTGTACATTTCATATGAATGGAATAATATGATAGGTGGATTTTTGTGTCTAGTTTCTTTCACTTAACATAGTGTTTTCAAGTTTAATTCATGTTATAGTACATATCACTGCTTAATTTATTTTTGTGTGTGTTTTGACATCATTTTACTGTTATTTACCTTAAAAAATTGTGATAAAATATACATAATATAAAATCCTCCATTTTAATTCTGTTTATGTGTACAATGGAGGTATTAAGTACATTTACAATGTTGTACAGCCATCCCTGCTATCCATTCACAGAACTTTTTCATCACCCCAAACAGAAAAACTGTACTCATTAAATAATAACTCCCCATTCCTCCCTCTCCCCAGCCCTTGGTAACCTCTACTCTACTTTCTTTCTCTCTAGGTACCTCATGTAAGTGGAATCATACCGTATTTATCCTTTTATGTCTGGCTTATTTCACTTAGCATAATGTATCTAAATGTTATCCATGTTGTAGCATGTATGAGAATTTCAGTTCTTTTTTGGTGGAATAATATTACAATGCATGTGTTCACTGCATTTTTGTTTATTCATCTAATCACGTACACTTGGGTTGTTTCTATCTTTTGGTTATTGTGAATAATGCTGTTGTCA